AGTATAGAATATCTTTTAAAAAATTTGGAAGCCATTCAGCTTCTTCTCCAGCTTTGTCTAACGCACTGAATTCAGAAACTATCATTGATCTAGCTATACATGTTTATATAGAAGATTTCCATGATACTGCAGCACCTCTAGGTGTAAAGACATATTCATTTGTTGACTTGGAGTCTTTAGTATCTGATATCCAATTTGCATCGCAGTTCCTTCAAGTACTGTTGTATATCTCGAATAGTGCAATCCAAAGTTTTTGGAATGTTTTAAATACCCTAAAACTCTAACAATTGTCTTCTAATGATCAATGCTTGGATTGCTCGTATATCGACTTAGCCTACTAATTGAATAAGCAATATCAAGTCGAGTGTGGTTCATAACATACATTAAACTGCCAATAATTCGAGAGTATTCCAATTGAGATTTATTGTCATTAATATGGGAAACAAGATGCATACTGATATCTATAAGTGTTTTCATATGAATAATATCATATTTCTTGAATATGTCAAGATTCTTCTCAATATAGTATCATTGAGACAATATGAGACCATAGGATGTTTTAGAAATTTTAATTTCTAATATAAAATCGACTATACCTATATCATTTATTTCAAATTTATTTGTTAGCATCCTTTTAGTAGCTTGAATTATGGTATCATTGTTATCTATAATCAACATGTCATCTACGCATAAACATACCATAACATATCTATTTTGAGCGTTCTTGACATAAACAAATTTGTCACACTCATTAATTTTGAAATCATTTGATATCATAATCGTGTCAAATTTTTCATGCCACTTCTTAGGAGCTTGTTTTAATCCATAAAGTGATTAACAAGTCGACACACTTTTTTTCTTGTCCTGAGGCGACAAATCTTTCAGGTTACTCCATATAAATCTCTTCATCCAATTCTCCATTCAAGAAAACCGTTTTAATATCTATTTGATGTATACCCAAGCCATTAAACGTTGCTATCATAATTAACATACACATGGAAGTAATTATTGTCACAGAAGAATAGGCATCAAAATTATCAATACCTTCTTTTTGCCTATAGCCTTTAGCGACAAGTCTAACATTATATTTGTCAATTGATCTATCTGCTTTCATTTTTATTTTGAAAATCCATTTACATCCTAGTAGCTTCTTACCGGGAGGAAGGTTTACTAATTTCCATGTATGATTTTGTAGTATGAATTTGATTTCACTATGAACAGCTTCTTTTCAATATGATATTTTGGCCAATGGCATAACCTCTTTAAAACTTTGAGGTTCATTTTCTAATAAATATGTTAGAAAGTTAGGCCCAAATGAGGTTGACGTCCTAGCCCTCTTACTATTTCTAGGTTGTTCATTTATAGATTCTTGATCTATAGCCTATTTATTTTCACGAGATCTCTTCTGTGAATCTGATTCACTCTACATGCTATAAGGAAAATCATTTTCAAAAAATGTAGCATCCCGTAATTCAATAATCGTATTAATATGCATATCGAGTATTTCAAACTTATGTATAATAAATCTGTACACATTACTATGGTAGATATAACCAATGAATACACAATCAATGGTTTTGGGGTCCTATCTTAACCATTTTAGGTTTAGAAACTGTTACCTTAGCCAAATATCCCCATACCTTCAAGTATTTATAATTAGGTTTGTGATCTTTTCATACTTCGTAAGGTATCTTATGCATTTTTCGATGTAGTAATTTGTTAAGAATATAATTGGCAAAAAGCAAGGCTTCTCCCCAAAAGTCCTGCGGTAATCCAGAATTTATTAACATAGCATTCATCATCTCTTTCATTGTCGATTCTTGCGTTAAACAATACTATTGGATTGAGGAGAATAATGCACGGTAGTTTGATGAATAATTCCATATTCCAAACAGAATTGTTCAAATGAAGAATCATATTCACCACATCTATCATTTCTTATAGCCTTAATCTTTTTACTAAGTTGATTTTCAACTTCTAACTTGTAATGTTTAAATACTTCAATTGTTTCGTTTTTGCTTTTGAATTAATACACATAGCAATATCAAGTACAATCATCGATAAAAGTGATATATTACTTATTACCTCATCTAGTTTGAACAAACTTTAAATCACATATGTCAATGTGAATTAAATCTAGGCGTTCGGTATTTTTTTCAACAGAGCGAAAGGGTAAATGTGTCATTTTGGCTTCTACACATATACCACATTTGTGATTAGAGTCTAAATCGTACTTTGCTAATAAATCCAATTTGATTAGTCTACGCAAAATATTATAGTTTATATATCTTAATTGTTCATGCCAAATATTAAATGCCTCAAGCAAGTAAGAAGAAAATGTAATTTTATTCTTAATCGGAGGTACAACAGTCATTACATTCAACTTAAGGAGTCCCTCATTCAGGTAGCCATTTCTTACAAACATTTCATTTTTGTAAGTACAAATTTGTTTGAAACAAAATACTAACTTAAACCCGTTCTTACTTAATAGGGAACCAGATACCAAATTCTTTCTAATATCGGGCATATAAAGAACATCATTCAATGTGAGTTCCTTTCTACTTGTCATTTTCAACACCTATCTTTCCATGTTCTTCAACCTTGGAAGATGAAGAGTTTTCCATGTAGAGGTGTTCATCATGATCTATAGCTTTATAGGCAAAGAACTTCCCGCCATTTGAGCATATGTGACTAGTAGCTCCAGTATCCACCCATTTTCCTTAGTGTTTCCAACTAAGTTGCATTCAAAGACGACCACAAAAAGATTTATGTCTTGTACCTTGTTAGAAAGGTTGTCATGTTTTGTTAATTAGCCTGATGAGGTTTTTCCTTAACATTTTTTGGCTTTTGACAGTCCTTGGATTGATGTCCTGCCTTGCTGTAATTGTAACAGTTGCCCTTGAACTTTAGAGTAGTTTTTGAAGAAACAGTTTGCCCTTCGCCATTGTGCTTCCTCTTTTTGCTAGTCTTTAAACCTCATTCCATAATGTTGGTTTTCGATTCCATCGAATGAAATGCACCACTCCTCTTTTCAAATTTGTGATTGTCTTTTTCTATTCTCAACCGGACAATGATATCTTCAAATTTTATTTCTTTCCGTTTATGTTTTAAATAATTCTTGAATTCCTTCCAGGAAAGCGGTAATTTCTAAATCAATGTAGCAACTTGAAATGATTCTCTTAGTTCCATTCTTTCGGCATGGATGTCATTGAGTGTGATTTGAAGTTCTTGAATTTGGGATATGACAGTCTTGCTGTCAACCACTTTGTAATCCAAAAATCGTTCGACAATTAATTTTTTCGTGTCAGCATCTTCGATTTTGTACTTGGTGTCCAAAGATTCTCACAGTTTCTTGGTTCAATATTGCGATTATTCAATTGGTTAATGGTCGACTGTTTAGTTGGTTAACAGTCGACTGTGTAGTCAGTTAACAGATGACTGTTCCAGACCAAAAAATTATAAAGAAATAAGACAAAAATTAAATTTTATTAAGTACCCAAGAATTTGATTATTAACACTTTGGCCTAAAAAATCAAATAAATTTTATTCAAAAAGTTAATATAGCGAAAGGACCCATCCCCACGCGCACCCGCACACGAACCGAAATCGGACTGCACTCGGACATGTGCTCTTGTCGAGACAGCAGGCCACATAGATGGTGACGGCGGCTCACATGGGTTTATGACCGAACCTGATAAGATATAGGTCTTCTCCCTTCCAAAGACTATTGGTACTCCTTCGAGTCCAAAACCAATTCTCAAACTTTCACCATATAAACCCCACAAAAGTTTCCTAACTTTCTTATGTGGGATAAGTGTTTGGTAAATCAAATTCTTCCATAATTCATAATTTCAAGTGTGTTATTTTGACATTCAATATTTTATTTAGTTCTAAATGATTTTCGATAAATAAATATATCATGTTAATCATTTCACAGAGTAGAACGTGAATATACTAGGTCCCATTAAAATTAAAGTACGGATCCCACTGAAATTTGAGCTCAAAGACCCATTTCACTAACAATAACCAATTTCCAACAATCTCATCTTTCACACATATAGAACACGAAGAACTGTAATCATCTGGAAGATTGGATTCTGAATTTGGTTCTTCTCATTTTCATCATTCTTAATGCAAAAAAGCGTATAATCCCACCTTGAAAACTGCAAATAAGACAATATACATGTCATACATTGCTTTTGTATAATTCTGCTGAAACATTGGCACAGAATGGACAGATTCTTGGTCTTGCTTTGAGTGGACCACAATGGCTGAAGCTGGGTCCTATACCTCTATTATAAAGTAGAGAAGTTGCAGGATATATATAATTCTTGATTTGATAAAAACTCGTTCATTGACATTTGTTTTTGATACATTGCAGCAAAGTTCAAGGAAAGGCTTCTTTACCAGAGAAAATAATCAGTTATTGATATTTATACGATCAAGATGAGTCTTTTGGCGTATATTATTAGCATTTTAGGTAAATTTTTAATTTAGCACTGTGTTATCAATACTATATTATTTTGTATTGTACATGATTTCCCAATTCACTTATATTTTAAAAACTTTGCAGGAAATGTTATTTCGATGACGGTGTACTTTGCACCAGTGTGAGAATCCACATTTTATTTCATCGAGTTCTTTTAAAATAAATTAATATTGATAATTATTTTATTTTTTGCAGGCCAACTTTCTACCAAATTTATCAGAATAAATCCACTGAAGGATTTCAGTGCATTCCTTACATTATTAGTTTATTTAGTGCATTATTTTGGATTTATTATGCAATTCTCAAGCCAAGGAGCACTGCCCTTATTACAATAAGCTCAGCCGGCAGTCTCATACAAATTATATATATTTCTTTGTACAATTTTTACTCAACGAGAGATATTAGGGTAGGATATTAATTAAAAGTTATTTAATATCAACTTATAGTTTTATTTTTAGTGAAATACTTATATATATTTTAATTCTAACAGACGCAGACGCAGACGCAGACGATGGCTATGATTGTTTTGCCAAATATCATTGGCTTCATTATGGTCATCGTACTAACTCAACTTCTATTGGAGTGCGACAAGCGTACCTATGTTGTTGGATGGATCTGCATGATCTTTTCTCTATTAGTATATGTTGCTCCTTTGTGCATTGTGGTAATTTAAATATATTTTCTTTTATGTTGTGATAATTAATTTATTTATGGTATTTTATTAACATTGATTTTTTGCATCAGAGAAAAGTCATTCGAACCAGAAGCGTCAAATACATGCCGTTTCTTCTGTCACTTTTCCTCACTATAAGTGCTACTGTGTGGTTTTTTTACGGCATATTGCGCAACGACTTATCTATTTTGGTAAGTATATATACATATATACATAATTACACATGGAGCATACATTTACAATTCCAATTGATTTTGAATACGTTCTTTTTGTTAATAGATTCCCTATATGCTTGGTTTCATATGTGGTATACTTCAATTGGTGTTGTATTTCATATACAAGAATGCAAAGGAAAAAGGCAATGAGGAAAGGAACGAAATCAATGCAATTGAAGAGGACAATAGAGATAGTTAGATTGGATTATCAACCATTGATGTAAACTTTAGTTTATTATAAATAAATGGTATTTACATTATGAATGTGAATTTCCACAAAATTTTCCTTTATATTAATGGACGTTTTATTTCAACTATGACATTTTCCAAGCAAAAACTTGTAATTATTTCTTTAATGGGTCTAATGATCATAATAGTGACGTTTTTATTTTTATTTTTATTTTTTTGGGGGGGGGGGGGCTTAAATTGGATGGAACTTTATTTATTATTATTATAAATAAAGGATAAGCAATCAAGTATAGACCTCACGTCCATAAAAGCTTCTGACCTTTTAGGGGAGAAAAAGAAACTGAATGATTGAAATCCTCTAAATGAGTCGAGTCTTCGAGCATAGAGGGGAAGATAAATCTTACCCCTATCATGAATCTATACACATTGCTTGGGAAGCTAAAGAGACATATGAAAGCTATTGGTGTTATAACATATACTAGATTTGTGATCCAAGACATTGACCAAGAAACTAAAGAGTAAGCTATTATGGCTCTAATGAGAGACTTACTACTAACCAAGATCTAATGAATTTTCCAGCTTGATCCAACTGGAATAATTAATTAAGAACTTTCATGTTTGTGGCAATTGCCAAGACGCACTGACAATCATCTCAATAATTGTTGGTAGGCTAATCATTGCTCAAGTTGCCAAGAGATTTCACCATTTTGAACATGGAAAATGAACTCTCTCTCTCTCTCTCTCTCTCTCAGTTACTTATCATGTTCCTTTGCTATGACTAAAAGAGTACAAACATAAAGTCTCTGTTTCTTGAACAAAGTCATGTTCTCACTTCTCATTAAAACTAATGGTAAAAAAGGTACAATTTTTTTGTAGTTTTTCTGCTCATTTCTAATAGAATCATAGCATTCTAGTAAGAATACAAGATCTACTAAGTTGTGCACAACATACACAAATCCACGATTCCAATTACTTACAGGCATCAATCCAAGAGCACATTTTTTTTTAAAGTAAACCAATGTTAGATCAAATACATTTTTCTAAATTTCACTTCAATTATCTATACGATTTATTAATAAAGCATGAAGTGTGTCCCATATAAAAGAAAAAAAAAATCTCCACACCCTTGTAGGATCTATCCAGTGTTTGTGGTGTAAATTTTTCCACATGAACAAGTCTTCCGATGAGAATTGACATCAACATTTTATGGACAAAATCTAACATCGAATTAATATATAAAAATTAATTTAATAACTGATATTCATAATATAAATCAAATAGAGATTATTATTATTATTATTATTATTATTATTATTATTATTATTATTATTATTATATAAAAGAAAAGGACATTAATTTTATAATAAAGCTAAAGCTGTGATCTTATTCATGATAAATCTGAAGCCGAAAGTTTATTTTCATATCTTACATTAATTTCAGGCCCAGTCATTTCTTTTCTTCAAATCAGAGGGGGAAGGAGGGTTTATTTTGGAAAAATAAAACCCATCTGCTTTTACAACCCAATAGCATTGATTATGATCGGCTTTAGGATCACCTCTTTCACAATCTGTTGGGTTTTTAAAAACATCAAAAGCCATTTGCTTTGAGCCCCACCAGAAGTGACAGAAGAACAAAGTTTCACCAAAAACTCCTTCGAAGAAATGCCAATGAAAATCTTCATTTACATGTAAAATTCGTGTACCCAACTCGTTATCTTTTGAAGCACAATGAACCCATAATGGGTTGGGACTATCTGGGAGCCCATTCACAACATGGACATCATATCCATTAGTTAAGTGAAAAGGACGAAGCTTAAAAGCACACAGTTCTTGAGCAAGAAGAAATAACACAATAAATAATGTGAAAATGATCTTCATTTTTTAGGAAATCCAGAAATAGTTTATCGTACTGTTTCTGATTGCTCATGTTTGCCTCTGTATATACTGCCATATAAAAGCTTTGTTGCAAAATCACCATCTGGTAGAGCAGATAATCAAATCGCAATTGACAAAATCAACTCGCTTATTCTATGCGTATATTTTATGTACCTTATATAATCTTAATTTGATTGTCTAAATATTCTATTTGGAAACACACAAATTGGGATAATCTTGTATTGTAATATAACTGAAAAGATACAATCCCTTCTATATATAAATATATATTAAGTTTCGTATAGCTTTTTGGGAGTGGTCAGCAACTTAGATTTTAATGAATTTTAAAATGGGGATAACTGCAAAAAAACACTAAATATTCGACACATTAGTAGACTTTTTTCAAATCTTTCATTTGTTGTAGTTGTCACCCCTAACCTTTTCAACTGTTGCAGATTAGGCCCCAAATGGATGAAAACCGTCTCTTCTACTGTTAGTTGACCATCAAAATTAAAATCTAACCATTTTAACTAAAATAGGTGAGGGTAAAATCATCTCTTCAATTTTAAAAGAAACAAATATTAATTAAATTGGAAAAACCAAAAGCGTAATTAGCACAAAATATCCCTATCGTTTGCATTCATTGTGCAGATCATCTCTATCGCTTTAAATTTGTCATTTACAGCCCTATTTCAACCTTTTTTTGCGGAGTTGGTCCTTTCTATTTATTCCGTTTGTTCCTTCCATTAAATATGCAATCCAAATCATATCAAAAGGGTAATTTTGTCAAAGCACTATTTTCCTAATGAGTAAACGTGAAGGTTGGCAGAGAGAGAAAGAGTCCGTGGCAAAAAGTGAATTGAGCACTATTTTCCCAATTTCTTCATTTTCCCTGCAAAGAACCCTAGTCCCCTACCTATTTGCACTCCTTCCTACTCCTCCAGGTAAGTAATAAATATGTAATACTAATGATTTTACATATTTTCTCTAGAGTTATCTGAGATTTATGTTTGAATTCATATGGAATGAGAGGTATTTTAGCCAAGTTAATTCCATTGTATGAAAATACTTGTGACTTTGAAGTTCCTTGCTCAAGTTGATTAGTTTGTGTTGTTAAAGATTATCACTAATACAAGAGTTTATCTAATATTATGGCGATCATGTAATTTGCTCAACTTCACAACCAAAAAAATAAAAAATAAAAAAAAATCATAGCAAATCAAATATGTGCTTTCATTTTTTTTGTTTTTATATTTTTTGTTTATTCAGAAGTTTCTGAACTTCTTTATTGAGCTTTCTTTAATATCTTATCCATATAGAAATGTTATATTTAAGATTCGGGCTTTATCAAGAGAAGACACCTGAATACAGTTAGTTGTTTTTCCCCCTCTTTTCACATGTAATTATATTGCAGAAAATACATACGTAATTGAATGTCATTACCATGTTCATACAGGTCCTAATACAGATTATTTCATAATGGAGGTCTACTACGGAGGGAGTTTCTTTGATAAGCCAAACAATATCACATATAAGCATGGTTCGGTACCGTATATGGATTTCGTTCATCCAACTGTTTTGACAAGTGAAATGCTGAACAAATTTATAAAAGCTTGTGGATCTATTAAGCAAATGGAACTATTCTATAAGAAGCTAGGAGTATCATTGGAAAAAGGCTTATATAGAAATAACAATGACAAGATGTAAAAAATATGCTGAGGGATAGAAATGAAGCAAAGGTTGTGGAGATATATCTTTTACCTCCAAAACAAAAACATGCACTTCCATGTGACGATTTTAAATCCACCTCTAAATGAGCATGTTGGCAGGTCTGACCCAATTAAAGAAGGATGCTATGTTCCTGTTCTTGAACCAAGAATATAATTGGGATGATAGGTCTTCCTATGCAAATCTAGATGCAATTTAGTCACAATTTGAGAACACCATGGCATACCATTCCGGAACACTTGATAAGCAAAATATACCTACTTGTGATGCAAATAATACTAGTGAATCACACGAAAAGCGACAAAGTATAGGAAATGAGGGTGCACTTCTAGATAGTGACTATGAAATGGATGAAGACTTGATAATGCTGGAACTCATCCTCCAAGAAATATGGATTTTGGATTTGGTGTTATAAATGAGCCATTGGTGAAGGATTCACACACAGAGTATAGTGACTCAGATGAATTAAAGAGTTTGAACAGTAATGAAGAAGAAGAATAAAGCACTTCAAGGAAAATGAGAAGAAGGCAATCATTAAATACTAGGACAGATATGGGCGATCCATTATTTATAGTTGGTAAGTAATGACAACTAAATTAATAGCTCATGGGATGCTGCAAGAGCAACAACAGTACCAAAGTGGCTAGAACACATGCAAAAGATGCTTGATTTGGATCCAGAAGCATATGGGTAGCTTGAGTTAAAACCAGCTTCTCAATAGCCCAAATCACACTTTCTGGAAAAGACTAAATGTGATATGTTGAACAACCTATATCAATCTTTTAACAGTACATAACTTAATGCAAGAGAGCAGCTAATATTGACAATGCTAGAAGAAATTAGGGCATATTTGATGAAAAGGATTGTAATTCGAAGGGAAACTTGTGATAAATGGAATGGAGAAGTTGGGCCTAGAATTCAAAAGATATTGAACAAGAATAGTAGACTTATAAGGAGCGAGCATCCTGATTATTCAGGAAATGGAAAGTTTCAAGTTAGTCACATTATTGGAACCCTAAATGTAGTGGATGCCATAGCAAAAACTTGTTCTTGCCGAGCTTGGCAATTGACTGGGATCTCTTGTTGTCATGTGATTGCATCCCTAAATTCAAGGGGAATGAGTGTTATTGACTACATAGATGACATCTATAAGAAAGAGGCAGACATTATATATATACCATCTATCTCACCCATGACAAGTCCAAATTTATGGCCTAGCCAAGGTCTTGACCCCTTGAAACCACCTTTCTACTCCAAAAAGGTGAGGAGACCAAAAAAGGCTAGAGAAAAGGAAGCTAATGAGCTTGAAGGCAGGGGTTCATCAAGCAATGTAAATGCATCGTCAAGCAGTGTAAGGGAATCAATAGGAAATGCAAGCAGGGTATGGTTGAAGATTAAGTGCAAGAAGTGTAGACAAGCAGGTAACAAGAGAACTTCAGTGGCTTGCTACCAACTAATGCTACTAGAAGATGTTTGAGTTTATTGAGGTTTTTTGACTTTATAAAATTGAAACTGCTACAATCTATTTTGTGGAAATATTATCCTTTTTTGTGTAGAAACTCAACACAATGTACATCAACTGCAGTTTATTTATTTATTTATTTATTTTTACAATTGATATTTTGTATTTACTGGAAAAATGGATACTAGTACTAATATTTTATTAACAAATCTGGTTTTTGAGGCTCCGTGAATGATTCAATTAAATCTTTGTGATATTTTACGAAGTTATTGATTGATTTGATTAGAATACCAGGCTGGAATTTGGAACAAGCTTTTTATTCTATTTATTTGGAAATTGATTATGCAAAAAAAGACATTTTCAATATATATTTTTGTATTATGTTTGCTTGGGAATGTCGATAAATTTTTTATAGGAATGATTTTGGATCATGCGATAGCTAAATGTAATCCACGTGTATCTTTAACGGCGGGAACAAACGGAATAGACGGGAAGGATCAACTTCACAAAAATAGGTTGAAATAGGGTTGTAAATGCCAAATTTAAAACGATAGGGATAATTTGCACAATGAATACAAATGATAGGGATGTTTTGTACCAATTACTCAAACCAAGAAGAATAAAAATTCAATTAAATAAATAAAAACTCCTTAATCTTCTTCAACCTCTGCCCAATACCCACCAGCACCATCCACCATCGCCACTACCTGTCGCCGCACCGCAATTACAACCACCACCTCGAATTACCAACCATCGGCGCACCCAGAATTTACTGTCCATTCACATCCCCAAATACATATATAGACACATACATATAGAGATAAAGAGAAAAACCCCCAAATACACATGTAATATAAACTAAAGTTGTGGTAGGATGTGTTGGGAATTCCATATTTTTCTTCTACGTCTTGAACTCCAAGTTATCATTCCCTACCTCGATGAAATTCCCATCTTCAGTGCCCTTTTGTCTTTCCATATAATGCTCTCATCGTCTTCTTCCTCCACCTCCTCCAATGACTGACCAGGCATATTGTCCCCCATGAAAAAATAATCCCAGGCCACGCCTTTAAGGTCTGGTGGCAAGGACGGATTAGGGGTTCTTATTGGGATTTCGAGGCCTATCCCCTCAATCCATTTTTTCCTTCCATTAAGCCCTCCTATCTCTTCCTCATCACGCTCACTAATAGCAACACCCTTAATTTTTCTCTTCATTTTCTTCAAGTGAGAGAGCGCAGCAGGCATGGTCATGGAATGTTGAATGAGCGAGAGAGGAGAAAAGCTCGAGAGGGGCAGAGGAGGAGGTAGATTGGACTCCACCACAAAAGGCAAGGCAGCATCAGTGGAGATGGGCGTCGCTCCATAACAGCTGGGTCTTTGGCGGCACCTTGTGGTATCGTAATGGCTCAAGGCGACGTCGGATTGGCACTGATCCTTCATTGTCTATTCTTGATTGTGCACACCCCATTTTGTTTTTTATTCAAGTTTTTTTTTTACTAATTTTATTGGAAAAATATTAAGTTACCATTTTGCCCTACTCTATTTTGATAAAAAGTGGTCAAAACTTATTTTGGTGGTCAATTGATGGCATTTTAAATGGAAACTATCCAAAATGGCTTTACCTACAACGGTTAAAAATGTTAGGGGCGACAGTTACAAAAAAAGAAAAATTTGGAGAAAGTCGACTATTATTTCAAAGATTTGAAATTTCTGCTGCAATTATCCCTTTTAAAAATTCATTTGAGGCATTCACTAAAATCTAAGTGTCATCAATTTGAATTTAATTATATTCTTTATAAATGCAATTCACGTGTTC